TGTTCTTTTTAAAGAATGTTTTGTTTGGAGGGGTTTTTTATGACTTTCATGAAGAAATAGAAGTATCAAAGTGACATGAAAAATACGTACAGAAGATTTTCCTGTGCCTCTGTTTTCAGTATACCTAGGCAAAGCGAGAAGATGGTGCTACAATGTTTCATTTGAAAATTATCCAAATTATTTGGTTATGGAATGATATTTCTAGCTTAGGTCAGTCTGAAATTCCCTGTTGTGGACCATAAAAGAAACCTTGAAGTAAGTTTACTACTCAGCAAAACATTTGATCACGTGATAATTGATTTTGGTTTATCACAGCTGTTCCTGTAGTACTTTAAAAGTCTTAAGTTATTAGTATTTTATGATTTAAAATGTAATATTTATTTTAAAAGCACTAGTGCCAAGCTCTGGGAAGTTTCACTGGAAACAAGTTAAGCGGCTTACTCAGTTACCTTGAGTTAAGCAGCTAACATGCTGACTACTTGCCTTAGCTCAAAATGAGATGGCAGGTAGTTCAAAGGAGACAATGAGGACTCTGCTTACGCTATAGTCTATAATGAAGTTTGTCTGAAATCATACAGTATCTCTTGAGGGAATCAGTTGGTAAAGGTAGGGCGACAGTGATAGGAGGCTGTCATATGACTGACAGTTGTGATATGACCAGCAGTGGCTTGTAAAATAGATTTCAGCATGACATCCTATTTCTGTTGACAGAAGGTATATTGCAGTCGTGTTGTGTGATAGAGGATATGCTGGCCAGAAAGCATTGGTTATCCCCATCTGTTTTCAAAATGTTTAGTGAGATCTGTAGCAATGAACCCAAATCTATAACATCTCATCCAAAGAACAGCACATAATAGATTGCAGTGTTAGTTTTGGCTAGGTCCCAAAAGCCTGGTGTGAAGGACAGAACCACCACCTTCTGGCCCAGGAATGAGGGCTGCCAGAGGTCATCTTCACTGCTCCCCCCATGTCAAGTCACAGTTAATTGTAGACCTGGTATTTCACTACATTGAACTATAGATAATGAAGTTAAAAACCCCACAGCTTAAAAGTGTGACTTCTTTACTGTCAATTCAAATAAGTACCTGGTGGGTCATATCTGTTTGCAGAACTGGGACACTTATCCTGCTCCCAAACAGTCTTGGCTATATTCATGCACTTCAACAACAGCACTCTTTCATCTAAGTTTCATTGCTAGTGCGGATTACTTGGACTGCAAAAGTTAGCAGTCATTGGTAAGATATTTAATAACTATACTAGAGCATGAGTGGATAATATCAAGAAGTTGAGGGAGCTTGAAGTTTAGGTTATTACCTTGAATCATGCAAACTGAAGAAACACCTTGTTCGTGAATGATCAAATTGTAAATGTTTAAAACTTCTCTTTCACTTATCTCCTGCTCTCAGTTTCATGCAGATTTTCTGGTCACAAGTTTCACTAGAATGCTTTTCTGTATTCAGATGGTGCTACTGAAGTGCTGCTGCTGAGCTTATAAGTTTTCTCTGAAAAGCCATGAAGCAGGGGCAAAATACTAATGGGATGCTTTGACACCAGTCTATCAAATATTTAACCTTTTTCATTTCTTCTTCACACACTAGTTATTCCAGCAGGTCTACTTTAATTGTTTAGGGCTCAATTCTCGCTAAGTGAAGTGGTATACTTGTGACCTACTTTTAGTGCCATCTTATCCTTAACAGGCAACATGGGAACTGGCATAACTGTAAGCTGTTTCCAGGTGCTTCTCACTGCTCAAAGAAACTGCTGCTATAATATTCCTCTGATCCAGCTGAAGAATTCCTCCATTCACGTGGTTGACTTTTCACACAATGGTTTCTTATTTTGCCATCAAATAGGTAAAAGACTGAGAGGAAAAGATCTTCATATAGCAAGGAAGAGACATCTCAGACTTTAAATTAGACTAAAATTTACAATGAACCAGATTAGTTTTGCATATGGACTTCTGTGGCTGTCCAAAGGTTCAGTCTCAAGCTCAGTGAGCCTGGTAACTCAAGCTGGTTTCATCCATGATGTGTGCTGTTCCGGTCATTTATTATAAACTGACTGGTTGTACTAATTTACATAATTAAGGCCGATCAATAATAACGCTAGTTTAACAGTCCCAATTTCTGTAGAGAGAAGTTGCTGGACACTGCTATGCCCAATACCTTGAAAAGTTGAGTTACTTTTCATTGAGAACTAATTAAGCACATAGGAACAGTATGTGCAACAGTGAAGTGTCTTCCCTGCAGTTGTGGAACCAACGTGTAAAGGTTACTGGGTGGTGTGAAAGATTTTAAGCCCATTGTTAAAGTTAGCAACAAGATAGGTCTCTTCTAACCTGAATTTTGTACCCAACCTACTAGACCATGTGGTTATTGGCAGTGGGAGACTGCCACCACTTCATTCTAATTCTAGATGGAAATTACTTGCACCATCTCTGCTATGCAAAATGCAGCTGGTAATAAACTGCCAGCTTGCTCACTTTTCCGAATGGCCTTATAAATTGCAGAAAATGCTTCATGTGAGGGAACAGTACCACTATATGCTTATCTGAATAGAACTGACAATTATAACGAAATCTGCTGCTCCTTTTTCTATTATATGCTCTTGCAAGACAGAGAAGTGCTTATGTACAGAGTTTTATCTGAGTCTGCTGATAGCACCAAAATCTTTTGGATTCTTGATGGAAATTCAATCTGCTTTTCTCAGAGGTTTCTCCCCAGCTTTGTACATGTTCTTTCAGTGGTACTCTTGTTAAACCTAAAGATATGGGAAGGTTTTCATTCAATGGTCTTTTCAGATTTCTCCCCTCCCCCCACCCCCAAGACTATGTAATTATTCTGGAGACAAGAGTAGATTGCAAAGAAGGTATTTCTTTTTGTGCCAGTTCTGATATTTATTTTACAGCGTGCATTCATCTACTGATAATTATCCAGTGCTATATACTAGGATAATGTATTCTGCTGAATATAAACAGGGGTGCAACTTCTAAAGGTATTAAACAATGGCAGCTTCTTTGAAATGAATAGGAGTTGCAGGTATTCTATCTCTGCTTACATGATTATGTATGAATTTTATATTTTATTCTGCTGTCTGTGTGGTACCATTATGGCTCAGCAAAACTAAATCTGTAGGGAGAAGAACTAATCAGATAGAAAACTGAAACAGGATATAAATGAGTTCACTATGTAGTCAGAGAAGAAATATAAAAATCATATTCATTGAGGAAAGGGAGAAAAGATTAAAAATAGGTAGTGTGGAATGTATTACAATTGTTCACATTCAAATTAAAGTTAGAACATGGGCCATTCATGAGCAAAAGTATAGAACATGATTTCAGTAAAATTTATCTTGGCTAATCATACTTTGCAAATTATATAAAGTCTATTCTGCAGATTAATTCTGCAGAATTAATCACACTAAATGTTAGGACTAGAAATAGCAGGTATCTTGGTTGGGAGTCCAGGCCCCTCTATCATTAGGAATTAAAATATATAATCCTATTTGCAAATGTCGCAAGCTTTATCTTACAATTAATTAGATTCCATCCCTGACTATCGCTGTCAAATGGCTATCTAAACTCTCTAAAACCTTACTCCCAGTTTAGGTATGGTCAAGCAGAAGGTCAGTTCAGAAACACTGAATAATTGCATCTTAAGAATTTTGCATCATTCTATTCTATTATATCCATTTACCAAATATTGGCTCAATAAGGTTTTGGAGGCCGTGTAAATGTGATGCTCTAAAATCTCTAAATTGTGAGATGCGTATAATTTGTCCGCTGAAAAACTCATTGCATTTAAAAAGATGTGTTAAAAAAGAAGAAGAAAAAAAGGTCTAATTAGTTTTCTTGTATACTTCTACTGTGGTCTGGGTGTCATAGTCACAGAACAACTACAAGTAAGTTTAAATATTTTACTATCTAATTCATGATGTTTCACGTTTCATTAATATCACTTTTTCTGTCTTGGGAATGTATGAAGAAGAACCATCGTCACTTTAAATTTCTATTCAGGTGGAAATACACCTTTCAAATATGTTACATTCTGGAAGTGAACAAGGTGCAATTTAATGACAGCAAAAACTGGCAAGGTATAAGAAAGAATTTGAAATAATTGCTAAATACTTCTCAAGAAGATTTCTTTCTATTACTACATGCACAATAACTCTAAATTTGTTTCATTGTTGCCTACTTGAAGATTATAAAATATTTAGCAGGAATATAGCCTTCTGTGGCTTAGAAAAAGGATGATGTATGGAATGTAACAAGGATTGAAGTCTTGTATAAAAGTAAACAGAGGTGGTAGTTTAGTGCGGTGGGTTGACCCTGGCTGGACACCAGGTGCCCACCAAAACCACTCTGTCACTCTCCTCCTCAGCTGGACAGGGAGAAGGAATATAATGAAAGGCTCGTGGGTTGAGATAAGGACAAGGAGAGATCATTCACCAATTACCATGGTGGGCAAAACAGACTTGACTTGGGGAAATCAGTTTAAGTTGTTATGAATGAAATCAAAGTAGGATAATGAGCAATAAAACCAAATCTTGCAACACCTTCCCTCCACTTCCCCCCACCCCTCGCTTCTTCCCAGACTCAACTTTACTCCCAATTTCGCAATCTCCTCCCCCTCCCAGCAGCGTAGGGGAACAGGGAATGAGGGTTTCAGTCAGTTCATCACTCATTGTCTCTGCCGCTCCTTCCTCCTCAGGGGAGGACTCCTCACACTCTTCCCCTGCTCCAGCCTGGGGTCCCTCCCATGGTAGACAGCCCTCCAGTGTGAGTCCTTCCCACAAGGTGCAGCTCTTCATGAACTGCTCCAGTGTGGGTCCCTTCCATGGGTGCCGTCCTTCAGGCACAGGCTGCTCCAGCATGGCTCCCCCACGGGTCACCAGTCCCACCAGCAAACCTGCTCCAGCGTGGGCTCCTCTCTCCACGGGGCCACAGGCCCTGCCAGGAGCCTGCTCCAGCGGGGGCTTCCGAGGGTCACAGCCCCCTTTGGGCACATCCCCCTGCTCCAGTGCGGGGTCCCCCACGGGCTGCAGGTGGGGATCTCCTCCACCAGTGACCTCCACAGGCTGCAGGGCACAGCTGCCTACCGTGGTCTTCACCACAGGTTGCAGGGGAATGTCTGCTCTGATGCTGGAGCACCTTCTCCCCCTCCTTCTTCACTGACCTTGGTGTGTGCAGAGTTGTTGCTCTTGCATATTCTCACTCCTCTATTCCACTGCATTTGCCCTTGCACAGTATTTTTCCCCCTTCTAAATATGTTATCCCAGAGATGCTACCAAGAATTATCATTAAAATTCACATTCCTCACACAATCTTCACAAACTTCACTCACATCAACAAAAAAGTATTCCCCACAACAAAACCAAAAGCACTGAATGAAAGCGGGCAGTTTGCACACACAATTCGCCCATTGGCCATTCACCACAATTACAATGAAAACACCCAAAAATTATTCAGCTATCTAACATTGTTCAGTCCGTATTTTGCCCGTTACCTCTCCCAATTACTATCCTTATCTCAAATTCCTCGTGCCCCAAGTTGGGTGCCAAAAGGGTGGGTTTGACCCGGGTTGGATGCCAGATGCCCACCAAAGCCACTCTATAGTGGCCTCCTCCTTAACTAGCTAGGGGAAATAAAATATAAGGAAAGGTTTGTGGGTCGAAATAAGGACAGCTTAATAAAGCAAATACAAAGGTTGTGCACAAAAGCAAAGGAAAATAAAAGATTTTATTCTCTTTATTATCAGCAGGTGATGTCCAGCCACTTCTCGGGAAGCAAGACTTCAGTACATGTAGTGGTTGCTCTGAAAAACACATGTTGTAAATAACAAATACCTCCTCTTCCTCCTCCTTTCTCTTAACTTTTATTGCTGATGAGATGTCATATGGTATGGAATATCCCTTCGGTCAGTTTGCATCAGCTGTCCTGGCTCTGTCCCCTCCCAAGATCCTGCCCACCTACAGCCTACTGGTAAGAGGAAGGAATGTTTGAGAAACACCCTTGATGCTGTGTGAGCACTGCACAGCCGTAACTAAAGCACTGGTGTGTTATCAACACCTTGCTAGCCACTGATACAAGTGCTATGAGGGCTGTGAAAAATTAACTCCATCTCAGCTAGACCCTATACATTTATGTTGGAAACTGATGCATTAGTGAATGAGATTGGACCTCAGTGTGCTCACATGTCACAGTGATGGAGCTGGTGTATGTATATGGGTAGATCTTCAGTTATTGGAATATAATTGAGCGGAATCATCAGCAGTTTTCACTGCTGCTTACTTAAGGCATTATAATCAATTAGTTGAACTAACGAGAGTTGCATATAAGAAAAGGAGAGCAGAGATAACAATTATCGAATGTGTTTTCCAAAAGACAAAGACTTATGGAATTCAGTGGGTTTTTTTCCTGTTAGAAATTTTAAGTCTGTTATTAGTTCCACTAGATAGAAGAATGTAATTTTCACCTATCAGTTTCACAGACTCTTTCTTTAGGGTAACATAATGTTTTTCATTCACAGTCATCTTTGGTATGTGTTAGGCACAAAACCAAGAGACTGTTGTGTTGTCCAAACATAAATTTTTGAACAATGATGTCTTCTTATGTACAATCTCAGATTTAATCTGCTCAGTCCTAGAGGTTTAGCCCCGTTGCCTTTGAATGTAATGACAAAATTATAGCTACTATTAAAGAATTTCCTGTTGTTCCAATGCTATGGGGCGTATATGCTCAATACAATTTGTGTCAGCACTGTATTTGATGTAATATTGCAGAGACATGGCTGTACTTCAATAAATCCATAGTTTCTAGGATCAACAAAGACTGTGAATGTAAAATTAATACATTCAGCCAGGATTTGTCCTGTAAAACATTTTTAGCATACATTATAAGGAACACAGGTTTTGAATACCCATATAGATATTTCTGGGCAGGTATATGTGGCGGTTGATAGTGCTTAGGAAGGAAAATTAAACTAAACTGTGTATGAAAACAGTTTTCCATGTAGTCCCTCTGTTGATATAAAGCCAAAGGAATATGTTTTACTCTAAATTCATTCTTGAAGATCGCAATAAAAGTACTATGAAGAGTTATGATATAATTTTACCACCCTGACTCTGGTTTTGATTGTCATCTTTGATTGTCCTCTGATTATCAGAATAGAAGCAAATGAAATGATCCACTTAAAGTGATATTCACAGATTCAGGGCACTACAAATAAAGTTTTGAGCTTATTTCATATGGCCTAAATTTGGGGTCCTGCTGAAGAGCGTTTCTGAAATTGATGTTCACCCAGTCAGAACATTTAACTCGTATCCTTTTTCATTCATGGGCTCAGATTTTAAAAGGTACTTCAAATTGATATTTTTTTACAGCGTCTCCAGTTCTGTATGTGCAAATCACTTTTCAGATGCCTTATTTACTATATAATGTCATGATAAATTTGTTTTGGTGAACCTTAAGAATAAATTTCAGGCAAATTTTATTATTTCAGCAATATTTCCCAATGACATACGAGCTTTTGGTTGTTCTTGTTAAGGCAGCATGTATCGTGTTCCTACAGTCAGTCTTCTAAGCACTTCAAGACTTAATCTGTTCAAACTGCTACATATGTGGGATTTGCAGTTCTTGCTATACAGATCCTGCTTCCAAGTCAGAAGGTAAGGGTTGTTTGTAAAGCAACGCATTATCCTGTTAGACTTAACCCAGTCCCAATTAAGCTACATCTTTTTGACATTCAATCAGTGTTTAAAAAGCGTAATATTCCTTTCAATTGTAGCTTTCTTAATAAGATATCAGAAAATGTTCTTTGATTCCAGTCTTAGCGCTCTTGCAAAGTTCCGCTTTTTTTCACTAGAATCTACTTTCTTACCAGAAGTAAGGTCTGAACAGCTGAAGCCATAATTAAGGCTAAAATTGCCTTCCTAGGGGAAGATTTGTTCCACTACCTTATTCATTTTCAGCAAAATGTAAGAGTTAGTAAAGAATTTAAATATATTACATGTTATGCCAGTTTATATTCATTTGTTTTGTGCCACATAAATAATGTGATGAAAGGTAACACAATTTATTATGACAAACTATACAGGTAATTAAAACCAAGTTCAGATCAAATCTATTACTATACTAAATCTCCATGCAAAAGTAAAAGCAAATGGACCCTGTAGTGTATTATAAATGTGCCAGATAGCAGAGTTCAGAGTATACGCTGTCTTGAAAGGAAACTTTTTTTGAATGTCCTTTCAAAAAAATTTTACATCACATGACACAGTTAAAGAGTTAATACAGCGATTCTCAGAGAACTACACATTCTTATAAAACCAAATTTACCAGAAAAGTAGGGTTTTTTATATAGTCCTTTATTTGCTATTTCATTTTTATCATCCAGTTATCTCCACTTTGTCACTTTTTAAGGAATTCATTATTTCGGTTAGGCACAATCAGTTTCCTTGAATGTTCCTGTTTATGTATGTGTAGAAATAGCTTTTCTCCTTTGTTCTCTGTCACTAGTCTTAGAAGTGAGATGATTAATTCTGTGAAAGCATTTATACAAACTTTCAGCTTCCTAATTAGGAATTTATTAATTACACTTGACGCGTAAACAAGTCTCAAATACGAGTTCTGTGTTGTTGAAATCTTTCTGTTCTAAAGTTGGAGTCATATAGATTCTGTATCCATTTGTACTTCAACTAATGGCTATTAGAAATTAGTGTTTTTAAACACCATGGTCAAATAAAATATAAAATTCAAATATTTCCAAAAGTTTATCCTGATGACCAATCTCTTTTTCCCAAGTGACTTTTACCCCTTAGCTATCTTGCCAGGTCAGATAAATTCTGAGTCAGCACATTTAGTTTTTTGTAACCCGCTGAGCTCTACAGGCTGGCCTAAAGTCTATCTATGGTATGTAGAACTAAGGAAAGGCAAAAATAGCCACCTGCCTTCCCTTCCACATTAATAATAAGAGTTCTCCCCTTCGCTGCTTCTTAATGTGACCCACTAAGTTTAAAAATATATTTAATTTCTTGACTACTGACTGGATTCTAGCAAGACAGTTCACTTGAAAGTTTGGGGTAACCTTTTGTCAGGTCCCTTGTTTGCCCCTCCTTATCGATTTGCTAAAAACCCCAGTACAAGTGTCTGCATTAAGACACAGACAATGCATAAAGCAAGCATGACAGAGGAAGGTCATATAGAAGACATTGCTTTGTGAAACTCTGATCTGTGAAAGGTAAGGATGTGTGAACTCAAATTTATAGGCTCTCTGTTAAGACGTTTCCAGAATATTGCTCATAATACCACCATACTCCATCAATCATCTTTCTATGGGCTTGTTCTGACTCACTTTTTTTAAATGACAAGAAAAAAAAATATTTACAACTTTTCATTTGTATTCTCATCATGAATTGAAGCTTCATAAACACTACTTATAGGATGTATCCTGTTTTGATTTATTATTTTGCTCCTTTTTCTTGTCCAGCTACTGTTCTAAATATTGCTTATTGTTGAGACATTCAGATAGTATTAGAAAAAAAACACTATATAAAAATACCAACTCCAATTTTACAAAAAGTTGAGTATTTCTTGAATTATTGCTGTCTGTTTACTCTTAATCAGCTTGTTATTAATATGAATTACGATGTCTTTAAAACAACCATCACATTATTTCCATAGGACTCTACCACCTTTAAAACAAGATGGACGGTGCACACATAATGCTCGCTTTTGCTCCATGGCTTGTGCTAAGTTATGATATGCAAGTAAAATCACAGTATTAAGAAGGAATTAGTTTCTATCTTTTGTACAGAATTTGAAAAGTCTAAGTGCTTTAAGAACATTATTTATTGTGAAAACTAAGATGCAAACTAAATTCTCCATATAACTAGGGAATTATAGCTAAGGAATCAGAGCACAGCAAGAAAATTTAAAAAATACTCTGTCATACAGGGTGCCCAAAACAAAAAAGCAAATGATGGTATTTTCAGCATATACATGTACCATTATATGGAACTTTGTAATATATACCATAGCTTCATTGACTTAATTAGATGCTGTAGTATCATATCTAAGCAAGATCAATTTTTAAAGGTGTGTGCTAAGGAATTAATGAAGATACCACACTTACCATGAGGAAAATGACCACCCATGGAAAAACCTAAATAAAGGGATTACCTGGCATTCCTGGCATAAAATATGATTTGTGAAACAAAGGAAATTCTAATTTCTATTTTAAAACAGCATTCAACTCTTCTGACTGTAAGATATTCCTCTTCTCTTTTAAAACAATGATACATTGACATTCCAGTTTCTACAGAAACTGAAACAATAAACAAATGTACAATGGGTTTGTGTATCATCCACTAATCAGAGTCACTAAATATGAGACAGTAAAATCATTATTTCCAGGCAAGGTTTATTCTTATGTTTTAGAATGTGATTGTTTGCAGCCCTGACATTTTCATACGTCTCTCTTTGGTCGGTGAAATTTCTCCACTGTTTTTTCATCATATTGTTGTTCCACAACCAGCATCAGTTTTGGAGCTTTTCAGTGTAGTGCTCAGACTTTGCTGTGCAGCCTGGCAGAGTACCTCGCAGAGCATAAGAGTATGCTACTGCCATATCAACCAGCCCTGGATAGGAGGGAGCGATTTACTGGTACCTTTCAGATATCTCCTGTAAAAAAAAAAATAGTTAAATTTTGTGTGCCATTCCAATGGGCCACTTCATACAAGCCACTTCTCCCTACCTTTGCCTATCTTTTTGTTCAGTCTCTTCACCTAGGCAGAGGTTTTTTCCTAGACTCATTTTTAGCTTCGTCCCTCTATATCCAGAAACAGGCTTTCCATACCAGCATCCTTGCTCAGTCCTTCCCGACTATCCCTCTCAGTCTGGGTGATAAGTGTGTAAATGATACATCGTGTGTTCCCATACTGTCAGAGTACCTCTTCTACTTTTCCATTGACGAGCAGCATCTTGAATTCTAGAATAAAATGAATTTTTCTGCTGAATTCAGTGATGTGACTATACTGAGTCCTCTTCAGCTGCAGCTTCATTATTGCATAAGTACAATCAGCCTGGGATGTATAAAATTTCCTTATGGCAGCCTAGATTTCCTTTAAAATGATCCAGAAAATTATGGCTCTACCTACAGCTAATATAAGCAAATAAATAGGTGATGTAAAAAGACTTAAAAACGTTGTTTGGTACACAGTTTCTCAAGTTAATTAAGAATCATTTCAGCATGAGGAACAATTGATAGTGCAGTAGGTCGCAGTGCCTCCATGATTCTGGTTATAATACTTATTTCCCAGTTTTATTCACACATTGCAGTGACTCATAAAAATTTCCCAAACATACCTTTCTTCATTCAAACCTGGATTTAATTTTTACAGAGGCTCTTTTACGGACTGCAGTGGCAGTCAGGTCGGGCGGGTGGTTGCCAGCCTGTGCTGGATGCCAGCCCGGGGCCTGGGTCGCCAGCTGAGGGGAGCTGCCCTCCTTGCATGGCCGCTGTGCCCATGCCTGTGCCCCTGCTCCTGCCTGAGAGACCTTGTGCCTCCCTGGTGGGACCCTGAACCAGCTCTGACATGGCTGCCTAGTGTCCCGGCAGGCGTCTCAGGGCCTCTGGGGCTGCGGGAGGCCCTGGGCCCTCTCCCAGGCCTGCGCCCCCTCGGCGAGGGCATGGCTGACCTGCCGGCCACGGTCCGGCTGCTCCCTGGGAGCGTTGCCTTTTAAAATGAGGTAAACTTTTTTTCATTTCATGAGACACAAATGTTACTTTTGCACATTTTGAATGAACTCTCCAAGACACGGTTCCCACGTGGAGAATGACTGCGCCAAACGCTCTGCGAGGAGGTGGGGAGGGAGCAGTGAGCCGAGGGGACGGGGAGCCCTCGCGCCGCCAAAGGCCCCTGGTTCTCGGGGTGGAAAAGGCGGCTGGGATTCGCAGGGGGCTGCCTACCCTGTAAAGAGCGAGGGAACGGCTTCAGTCTGCGCTCAGCTCTGTCCGCTGCTTATGAAGTATAACATAATAAATCTGTAAGGTGTTGGGCCATGGTTTCTATTAAATACAATGGAAACAAGAGGAAGAACAATTTCAGTGAAAAATACGTCCATAAGTAATTCCTTAGGGACTCGGTGTGGTCTGGGGATTAGGTTTGGGATTACTTTCAGAATTCAGCAGTGACTTATTGTGTAATTTTTGGTAAACCATTTAAGCTTGGAATTTTAAATTTTCTATTGAGAAATGAGGTTGATAGTTTTCTGTCACATACATTAGTGTTTGTAGAGCATGCCAGGTCTTTTCTTCTCTACATTAAACCAACTTCTCCTGGTGGCTGGATTTCTGTTTCTTTATATGTTTTTTAAAGTATGTAATTTCTGGTCAAATTGCTTATGAAAAAATGCCCTCCTATCTTCTAACCATGGAACAGGATTAACTCATCTATATGTGTGTGTATGTGTATTCAAACCGAAAAGATAGCTATAGATCTTTTGATTTAATATGTGGGAAATAAACTTGCAGAAACAATACAAACAAATGAGTCGCCCAGGAAAATGAATAGAGAAGGGGAGAGAAGAGGAATTCAGTCAATTGGTCTTGATTTACCAGTTGCTGATACCACTTCTCTCTAGATAGATCTGGTATGTGCACCATCAGACTGGACTTTCTGAATGGTGTGTGAGGTTTTTTGTTTGGTTTGGTTTGGTTTTTTTTTTTTTTTCGGCTCCTTCTTAATTCTTCATTTCTTGGTCATACATTAGGTAAGTATATGACCTTCCAGTAATTTCCATCCTGTTCTAACTCAAGAATAGAACATCTGTACAAAGCCTGAGTTGTCTTGCCTTCATAGCTGTTCATTTTCACCTTAATGGGAACACTTCTGCTGCTACCACTCTCAATCTAGAATTATGTGCTAATGGATACCCATTCAGAAACTTGTACCTATGGGGGAGATACCATTTGGGGTAGCTGTAAAACCTTATGCAAAACCTCCACGAGGTAACTTTCTGAGCTGTGCAGCCTCCTGTAAAATAAAGTACAGAAGAAGAGGCTGCTGTCATAATACATTTGTCCACATTGACTCACCAGGCAGTCCTCTTGGGTGCAGAAAATGAAATGGTTTCTTGTTTACCTAAGCTAAATGAATAATTCATTACTATTTTACATGTCTTGTCATTGTAAGTCTACAAATGTTGTGGTGGATGAACTTAAATATGCCTGTGTGGTACTACTTACTACTAAGTTAACTTCTGCGTAACAAGTGCTAGTGTTCGCTTTGTGCTTGGGTTTCACCTATATAGCAGGAAAAGCTTTAATTTATATCTTGAGCTGAGTGAATAATTCATCAGTATTTTTGCATCTCTTCTTGCTGTCAGTCCACAAACATCATGCTGGAAGAACTTAACATTTGTCTTATGCTATTTACTACTACATTACCCTCCACGTATCAGATGTCACTGTTCACCTCTCTGTTGAGTATCAGCTGTCTACCAGGAAATACTCTCAGTTTACTGTAGCAGTATTGCTGAGCAGCTGGAAAATAATTTTTCTAACATGTGGCAGAACAAATTATTGCACAGGAGGGGGTTAATGGAATTGTCTGCCAGAGGAATAAATAATTGAAGGGACATGGATCTACTTATTAGCTTGAATAGAGGCTTGATGTCCTAAATTATACCTTGTTAGAGGTAGGGAGCCTATGCTTTGTTTCAGCAGGAGCTGACTTAAGGAAACAGTGTCAGTATACCTGATATTTTTGTCTGTCACATATATCCTAAGAAGCTGAGAAACTGAAAGTTGTAGTAATTCTCACATACAGTTAAGATACTACTCATTTTCTCTATGCAAAGTTTTCTCTTACAGTGACACAACACAGTCAGAAGGGCTGAGTGTAAGGTGCTATATTCAAAAGCAGAGATACAAATGTTTTATATTGGTCTTGCTAATACTGCTGTTAATGACAGGACTCTGAAATTTAAACTGCTGGCTGGGTTCTTCACATGATTTTTTCCTGTGCATTATTTTTTTAATGAAGCTATTGAAGTGATGTAGCACATCTGGTAGTTGTTTTCCTATTAAAAGCTTAAAATAAACTACATCTTGCAGTATAAAGTACCACTTTTTCTGATGTCTTTTATCAAAACAACATGGTTATTTAAATTTTATTTCTACTTATTCTACTTACTCTTTTTTTTTTTTTTACATAGAAACAGAACATAAGGCTGACTACTTAGAAGAATACTACTTACTCTCTGAATTTGTTTATTGCATGCATTTCTTAGCAGTACTTACCAAGATAGCCCTAAATGTTTTTTAACTAGGAAGAAGGAAATATTTTCTTAAAATTAAGGGGTTATAAAAAAAAAAAATAAAATTCATATATTATCTTGCAGTCTAGCAGAATGGATACAAGGCAAGATATATAAAAATTGCTAAACATATTTTGAGATTGATAGGTTTGCACAATTATTATAGACTAACATATGGGCAAGAAGGCTGGATATTTAACAGTAAAACAAGTAGCCCCTTGACGGTATTAATATGTACCTCTATGCACCTTCAGGCATTAAAACAATTTCAACAATCTGCCTGTAAATAAATTAAAATACAAGTTACAGACTTCCAAAATCAGCTCATGTAAAAACTGATTTCAGCTACTGATGATTTTACTGAAGCCTTGTGTTCTTCATTCAATCACCTTGGAGTGCTAGCCTAAAGTTAATCCTGGGATTCTGATGCAGGACTGCTCTACAGCAGAATTACCCATAATTGCCTCAATTCCTGCTGACTGGTTATTTTTGCACCAGTGACTCAAATTAGGCACAGCTGGCCCTAGCAAGTTGGAGTTTAATAACAGCCAATTGTCAGAAACTAGCTGACGGTCAATGTTTTTGTCTCAACTGGGTGAAAGGAACAGTGACAGTTCTCCCCCCTCTCCCTGCCCTACCCCCGAACAAGTAGGTATCTACTTTCTGAAGCTAAAGAAACAATAAGTTGAGTAAGCTTCTTCCTGTGGGGAAATGTTCTTTGTCTGCTTCTGAACAGTTGCAATAATATTGAGATGTCTGTGCTAGCCACATGAATATTTGATGTGTCTTAACAACAAAGTACAAAGAAGATCTCATTCGTTTTTGTACATAGGCGGTGTATATTGACCCAGTGAAACTGAAAAATTAAAATTAGGCTCAATCGGAGAGATTTACTTGAGGGGTTGGTCACCCAGGCAGCAGTGAAATCTGGTTTTGAAATGAGACTGACAGTGGTTGTCCAGCTACTATGGTTGATTTTATAAAAAAAAAGGACATTGAAATCCTGAATAGTGAAATAGCCGTCCACAAATCAGCCAGAGAATCTTACTGCTGAACAGGCAGCTGTCTCTGGATCTTGCTGTCACTTCTGGTTGCTGCTTCTAGCAGCAATGCTGATTTTCGTTTTGCACAAAATGGTATCTGATGCTCTTCTTGGTAGAGATGGCTATGTCTTTTATGGCAAACTTGGCATGACCACTTTTTTGTAAGAATTTATAGTCAAGATTACAACTCTATCAATAACAGACTGAAAATATTTTGAGAAATCAGTTGCTGAGTAAATCCACGGATTTATGATGTGTAGTTGAAAGGCAGTGTGCTTCAGCTGCATTTGGTTCTAACGAAGTGTACAAGCTTTTGCAAACTTCCCCCTTTAAATTCTTGCTGGCTATGTTGTAACAGAGTGTGCACACTTGTTGCTGCATATGAGAAGCTTAGTTTCATGACTGTGTTTGCTTCAGTTCTCACCTCTCCAATTAGTATGAAAGAATACCTTGAAGTTAATTAATGTTGTATCGAACAAGATCACTGATGACAAAAACACCAAAGTTAACTAAAGTGGAAAAACCATCTTCGAACGGTAACTGTCTCCGTTCAAAACAATGTGCAATGCAAACAGGCATATTTAAAATAGTGCTAAATATTTGCTACCAGAATATTTAGTGAATCCAAAGACATTTGGTGCTTATGTGTGTCTTCATTATTTTGTGAGACCTTTAAAAATCACAAATGCCAACACAGAGACATTATATCAAGACATCCCCAAGGGTAAGTTGAATAAAAATTCCCTAGAGCCCATAAATCTATTTGAAGGTGATAACCTAATCACTAGTATGCCTGTCAAATCTCAAGGAAAGTGATAAGTAAAACAGTAATTCTCTGAAATATGGACTTTTACTTATCTGGCTTGACCTTTCCTCCTGCTCTTTAACCTTTCTGCCCTTCAAGTCTCAAAAAATGGTTGCATATAAAGAATAATATAATACAGACTTCTACTTGGTAAGCTGGAGATGTTGAGCACTTCAGTACTGTGTTGAATCTTTCACCTACTGAGGATCTGTTTGGAAGCCAACATAATAAAATGAGCATAATGTGGTTGTATTCAATTGACCATTTGTCCTTTTGTGAAAAGAAAGGTTCCAGGCTCCATGTGATACTTTAAAGCTAAATTTTGGAAGTAATGTGGCCAAAAAAAAAGTTACCTAAGGGTGTACTGAGTTCTGTACTGCCCTCCTTAACTACTTTTAACTTTGAAACTTGGTCATTCCTCTGTATTACTCAAGTATTTCTGTGTTGCAGTTGAGACAGCTAATATAAAGAAACTCGAAGAACGAAAAAACAAACAACTGAATCAAGGTCAGAACAACAAGTTAGGTTGTATCACCTTTCTTTAATCAGTGTTGGTCCAGAACCTCAAGTGACCTGAGTGGATACCAGCTGTCACTGTAAAAGCTTGACCAGTTCTCCTTAATGAGAACCCTTGTTTTTCACAGATACGCTTAATAAACACTCCGATTAAATTCATGGGCCAATCCAGTATCCTAAATGATAGAAAGGATGATTAAATTTTAAAATTACCAAAGTGACTGAGGGACTAAAAAATACCTGCAGTCTTTGATAATATGACAGTTTTATACAAAGCAGACAATGAAAATCGAGAAATTGCACACTAAATTCAACACAAACATATTAATTTGACAAAAAAAAATAGGACTAGATTTTTTTGGCATTAATTCATTTTTATTTAGTCGATAAAATATTAATGCTTGCATGAGCGGTATTTCACATATAGGAAATGATCGCATTCATTTCATTTAAGCTCTCTAATCAAAGTCATGGTTTGAACAATGGTACTGTGAAGTTCTATAGATTCACTTCACTAAATTCATGCTATTCCCATTAAGTCAGAAGGAATAGTCATATAAAGATAAACTTCTATATAAGCTTTTAGAAACAAGGACTCTATATGAAAACTGATGATTGACAATTTTCCTTTTAGCTGCTACTCAGTCTTGATTACAATAAATCCAGTATACAATAAATTATATCCCTATATGAGTATATAAAATATTTCTTGAGTCATAAGTAATTAGAAATTATGAAAAAAACATCCATTAAAAACCTAGAATTTTTTGCGTGCTACAATGTTACAGTGCAATACACAGTTCCCATGAAAACACATTTTCCCCTCCTATATTTCTAGCTGAGCCACATATTTTGTTTGATTCTTCAACACAATTTGCAAATACCATGTATGAAACAAATAATGGACAGGACAAGACTGTAAACTTCTCATTTTATTCTGAAAATTATAATTT